ATACTCTGAAATATTCCTAAATTAATTTTGTTGAAATTTATTTTTTTCAGTAAGATTTGCCTTTCAGTGTTGTTCTTGAATCATTCCATCAACATGTTTAACATCATCAATACCACCACAAGTTTGACAATTAGGGTAGTCTACTCTTTTCATTCAGATGGAAGTTGTTTATTGGTATTATACTTTCTGGCGTGTTGTACTGTAATGTTGAAATAAATGAGATAATGTTACTTTTTTAATTCAGTTATGTAGCTCAGTTTTACATTGCAAATTTTATTAGATAGTGGAAAATTACAATGTTATATATAGAGTTTTAATTGCCGGAACTGTTGGTTTTTCACATAATTAGTAATTAGGAAATTCCTTTTCAATTCGCGCTGCTCAGTTATGGAACAAACTACCTTGACAGATACAGGAAAGTCCATCAATTGGTTGCTTTAATTGCAACAATTAAAAATAAATGCATCCATGTATTTATATCAGTTGTCTAGTACCATAACACAAGCTCTGCTTAGCTTGGAACTAGATGGCGCTGTGTAAATTGTCTTGAGATATTATTATTATTATTATACTGCATGATGATTATTATATATATTATACTGCACTGATGCATTTTTTTTAATAATACATGTATTATTTAAAAAAAAAAAATGCATCCACATCTTTATATCAGTTGTCTAGTACCAATAACATAAGCTATGCTTACCTTCGAACTAGATGGAGCTGTGTGAATTGCCCTGAGATATTATTATATCCGAAGTCTATTCAACGCCTGATGAAGCCTCGTATAGAGGCGAAACACGTGTCGCAATATGGGTGTACTCAGTAACGGTCATAATTTGATTGCCATTAGAGAAGGTCGCAACGGTAGTCAAGTTTCCACACCGAATATTTGTGGTCTCACACATGGTAGGTCTCACACATGCAGAGGATTTTTTTTTTTATCTATTTGCGATCAGCCATTTAGCTAAGTAGAGGTAAACAAAATAATATAAATCCATCAAGTAGTTTGTTGAATTTTAAATGTGTTTATTTAATTTTGGACATTCAACAATATATTATAAGTTTCTTGCTCGTTCTTCTTGTGATAAGACAGCTTTCCGAACGAGCGGTAGATTAAAAAATGTAATGACTATTCAAAAGTGCTTCAATGTAAGTTTATTTGAATAAATGATTTTCTATTCTATTATATTCTCAAGTATTATAGTCAATGAAATCAATCTGTAAGCTATCTCTCTCGTTAAATTGTCTTTCTACTATCCTTTGCTTTCTACTAAATTGTCTCTTTCTTAATTGCACATTGCTTAGTTACTGTGTATTATTACTAATTTACTTTTTTAATTTTATATTTATATTATGTATGATGTATGTATATGTATTTATATTATGTGTGTATGTATATATATATTTTCCGAACGAGTGGTAGATAAAAAACAAATTGTTATGACTGTTCAAATGTGCTTAAATTAAGTTTATTTGAATAAATGATTTTCTATTCTATTCTTGCACTAGTGTTACCCACTCACTGATAGCTATGCCTCACTGTTAGGTTGACTGGAAGAGATCTCTTTTAGAGATAACTCCACCTCTGCTCACTTTGTATATAATTAAGTTTTCTACTCTATTCAAAAGTATAATATAAAAAAGTATATACTATAAATAATGCAATAAAAAAAAACTCTCGTGTCACAATGTTAGTTACCATACTCCTCCAAAACGGCTTGATTGATTTTTATGAAATTTTATATGCATATTCAGTAGGTCTAAGAATCGGCTACTATCTATTTTTCATACCCCTAAGTGGTAAGGGATATCCACCCCTAAATATACTTTTTTATTTTTCGACATAATATTTTATTATTATTTAGGATTGAAAAATACATACAACCCTAAATTTTCACCCATCTAGTTTCAACCCCTATTTTAGTAGAGATGTTTGTACTTATGTGCGGCAAAAAGTTTGCCGGGACAGCTAGTATAAAATCTTACATAGGTATTGAGAAAATAAATTTTAATGTTCTTGTTAAAGATTGTTAGGGATATTAATGATGATTATAGGCTGTTGCTAAACCGAGCTGACTTGTAACAGAGATGTTATGGATATGAAGATTTCGGATATAGGAATGATTATTATACCAAATCGGATACGGATGCGGTTATGAAATTATTTCGGATTATCCGTTAGTTTCGGATAATTTCGATTACGAATATGATTTTTTAAAGAATTTCAAAAGTAAAATACAAATAGATAATGTATGTTACATAAGATATCTCAATTAGGCTCCGTTCCTATCCGATATTCTCCGAAACTTTTACTTCGGATTCGGTTATGGTTTAGAATATGTTTTATATCGGATATCCGACAGTTTATGTTACGGTTACAGAGTTCCCTAAAATCCCTGGTTATCACCTCACCACTGTAGCGTTATGTATGACTAGAGGTCCTTGGTTATATGACTAGAAAACCTCTAGTCTTCAGTGTCTACGCTGATTCTTTTCCCAAGAAAAATAATTTGCTTGTTTTTATAATAGTCTTAGTTGCCAACAACATGTTACTTTTGATACGAAATCATTGAATTAAAATCCTATTGTAATAATCAAAAGATGAACCACGTGTCTGTATATCATTTTGACCTGTGGCAATGCATTCAATTATAATACAATACAAAACCTAATCTAACCTACCTTTTTTATTGAGGTTTATAATCTTATATACCGAAAAAAAAGAAATAAATGTCAGTTACTTAGTAACGGTTGTTTGAACAGAATAAAATTTTATGTTTTACAACGAAAAAAAAAAAAATTTTACACTGCATATCTTGTTTCTCTAATACTGTTAAAGCGGTTCCCTAGGGATATGTATCCCGAGAGATATATTCCTTCGATAAGACTGTCGTCACAGATCACGGGCAAAGTAAGGAGTTACGAGCGTACCTGGCTTTCTGCTATGGCGTCTTGGTGCAGGAATCGATGATCGACGACGATGATGATCGATGAACTGATCACACACACAACACGCGCGGCGGAAATTAGTGTATATACACCTTGAATATTGCACACTATCTATATACACCTTGACAATTCAATAGTTTATTAAATCGTAGTGATTCAATTATTATAAAACGTAATTATGTGCGAGCGGCGTTTCTCAGACACGAGCGGGAAACGAAGAAGAAGCGCCATCTTTCTTTCCATCGATGGCGCGGGCGTACTCGGCTCCTTTCGGCCCTAGATCGTGAGTATGTCTGTCCTTGTCTATTACACGAGATGTGCATTTAAACTAGTTGTGGCGCAAACATTCCCCCGGCCTTAAAGGGTTGCCTTTAAAAAAAATATACATATATATACCACTGGGAAATGAATAGCAGTATGCGGAAGATATATATAAATAAAATGAGCGGTATATTAATGCGTATAAGATTAATCATAAGCGGGAAGTTATCTGATGTTATGTGAATACGATATATGGATGAAAGTTATATATAACTAAGCTAAATCTAAATTTTACTTATATTAAATATATAACTATTGATGCGGCAATGGGCACAAACGAACTACCGGGCGAAGGTAGCTACCCTTTGAAGTCCTAACAGTGACCACTCGCGTAGTTCCGTCTTTGGAAGGATGTACCTTTTCAACGACAGCTAATGGCCATGAAAAGGGCGGTGCGTTATCTATTACTAAAATTACAACAGTACCCTCCTTAATGGGAACTGATGGAAGATTCCATTTAGCGCGTGTCTGCAATTGATGCAGATACTCCATTCGCCACCGGCGCCAGAAAGACTGTACAATGCTATCCAGAAGGGAATGGCGTTGATTTAAATCGTGCGTGTTGGCTTCTGGCGCAGGAATGGATGAAAGAGGGACAGTATTTAAAAAATGAGCCGGCGTAAGAGCAGACGGCTCAGCGGGGTCACTACTTCTAGCTGTGAGTGGACGCGAATTAATAAGTGCCTCAACCTGAGAAAGCACTGTTATAAGTTCCTCATAAGAGAGAATTTGTGATCCTATCACCTTAAATAAATTATTTTTAACTATTTTTACGATGCTTTCCCAACTTCCACCGAAGTGGGGAGCAGCGGGAGGAATAAATTTCATACTAATGCGATTTTCTGAAAGTTCTAATTCTAAATGCGGGCGATATTCATCAAGAAACTTATATAAATCGCGAAGATACTTGCGAGCACCCACGAAACATGTTCCATTGTCCGTATATAAACAGTTTATCGGGCCTCGGCGAGATAAGAATCGTTTAAGTGCGGATAAGAAACTAACCGTGCTTAAATCAGTAGCAACTTCAATATGAGTAGCACGGGTTGTCAGACAAGTGAAAATACATAGCCATGCTTTGCGGCTTTTAACCCCCGACCACGAATAGGTGTGTACTGTAAGGACCGGCATAGTCACAGCCTACATGCGTAAATGCCTTATCAACTTGAGTGACGCGGTGGCTCGGTAGATCGGCCATGAGTGGAAACGTAGGGCGCGGTTTTATTTTAAAACAAGCGTTACATTTATGAATGCGATAACGTATTAAGCGGCGAGCGGACAGGATCAGTACTTCTGCCTGAGTAAGGACATAAGTAACTCTGGTCCTGCATGAAGATGCTTCTTATGATAAAAATCGATAAGAATATCGATAACATGATCGCGGCGCGGTAAAAGTAGAGGATACTTAGTGCAGTAATCCTCAGCGGAACTTGACAAGCGACCACCGACGCGGATGACATCGTCCTTGTCTATAAATGGTCGGAGCTTGTTTAAAGCGGAAGAACAATATTTATTATTTTTATTATTAAACTCATGTGCAAAATATACTTCTTGCACGGCGCGGATTAACCTTATTTCAACAAAATCTAAGTCTTCACTCGTAATAACGGTATTACGAGGAAGGCGTTTAATAAATTTATATATATATACAATAGTCCGTAATAATTTAGAATATACAGAAAAGCGTTGAGATAGCGCGTAAAGTAGTGATTCAGAGGTATTTGAAATTAATGTGTGTATAACAGTCCGTTGTTCGGGAATGTCTTCATTCGATAAGTCGTGATTAACAGCAAGTGGCCACTCGGCCGGTTACTTAATACCCATGAAGGTCCGGTGTACCATAGCGGATGGTTTACTAGCTTGTCTGGTGTGAGTCCACGAGACAGGCAGTCTGCAGGATTATCGGAACCAGCAACGTGATAGAAACAGTCTGCCGGGACGTTATCGATAATTTGTACTACCCGATTGGCAACGAAAGTTTGCCAGCGGTGCGGAGAAGAGTGGATCCAACAAAGAGCCACCTTTGAATCACTAAAGGCGTATATATTATTCACAGGATACCGTGGTGCGATAGTATCAACAACCTTACGAAGTAGTTTTGCGAGTAATACGGCTGCGCACAATTCTAATCTCGCGATGGATACAATTTTTACAGGCGAGACCTTTGACTTGGCGCATAATAATTGAACAAAATATTTATTATCAACCTGAATGTGTAGGTAGACTACACCGCCATAAGCACGTTCACTAGCGTCAGCAAATCCTAAAATATTCAATTGACAATCCTCAACCACACCTAGGTGTCGCGGTATGCGAAGCCTATTAAGCGAGGGCAGTTCTAAACAGAACTGTCTCCAGGCTGCGATGATATGATGCGGGGGTTGAGCATCCCAATCACATTTCAACAACCAGAGTTCCTTAATAAGGAGCTTGGCGTACAAAATAGCGGGAGCCACGAAACCTAAAATGTCCCATAAACGGGCAACAGCGGAGAGAATAGCGCGCTTAGTACATATAGCGTCTGGCGTGATTACCTTGAACTTAAAAGAATCATTAGAGTTATCCCAAAATAGACCTAAGATCTTGTGCGGGGTGGAATTATCGAATGATTTGTCACTGAGGGTTTGTGTGTATCCGGGATGTGAGCAAGCACGTCGCGGGAGCTGCTCGTCCACTTTACGAGATCAAACTGTGCCATTTTAAAAAATGCAATAAGTTCGTTGCTAATGGTAATAGCCTGTTCATCTGTCATAACAGAAGATACGATATCATCCATATATAGTGCAGACGAAGCAACAGCGGCAGCAGCAGGGAATTTATCCCCTTCATCTTCAACTAGTTGTTGAACAACGCGGAGCGCGAGAAATGGACTCGACCTCAGTCCGAAGCATACACGATTAAATTCATATTCAGTCACAGGATCATCGGTGCTGAAGCGGTACAAAATTCGCTGAAACCTACGATCGGGTTCGCGTACAACTATTTGATGAAACATTTGAAAACAGTCGGCGGAAATACAAACTTTAAAAAGACGAAAGTTAATTAAAATACTAAATAAATCACCCTGTAGGTTGGTACCACTATGCAATATATCATTTAACGAACGACCAGATGTCGTTTTACAACTGGCATCTAAAACCACGCGCAATTTAGTGGTGACCTTATCCTCTCGTAGCACTCCGTGATGTGGAATGTAGTACGAGGGTATAAGTGAATTGTCTTGATGCGATTTAACTGGACTTAAATAGCCCTTATCAATATATGCGCGAATTACTTCGTTATAAGAAAAACGAAAATGAGGTGACGCTTCCAACTTACGTTCTAGACATAAGTAACGTCTATGTGCGGCAGCGAAAGAGTCACCTAAGGAGAACACGTCCTCTCGAAACGGCAGGGATACGATATATCTACCACTATCATCACGAGTAGTGGTGGCGCGAAAATAATGTTCACACTCGAGATCATCGGCACTCTGAGCGGGCGGCGCGGTTATCTCCTCCAATTCCCAAAAACTTTGGAAGAGAGTGTCCATACGATCATGAATCACGGAACAACATGACGTTGTATATGCGGTATTTAATAATGCGGAATTAGGCGATGCGGAATTAAAAGTGGGTACGGAACCCATGATTACAAACCCTAATACGGTTTGTATCGCAGGCGGAATATTACGATGCTTGCTATGCACAATACCCGGCAATAGCAAGTGCGGGAATATAGAACTACCTATAAGTACGTCTATATTACTAGGAATGGCAAACTCGCCGTCTGCCAGCGGTAGGTTTTTAATGTGTGAAAATGCGGCGGTATTGACAGGAACGGAAGGCAAACTGTCCGTAATACGGTCAACAACAAGCGCGGAAATATTAAAGTGAACATTAAAATTAAAACGAGAAAATATATTAAATTCTACTGAAACCTTAACGTTTTTTTGTGAGCCACCAATACCCTTTACCATCGTAGATGAATATTTTAATTCATTTAATAAACCTAAGCGGTCACAACATTCATCAGTAATAAAATTACTTTGGGACGCACTGTCCAATAAACATCGAACTAAGTGTTGTTTACCTAATGCGTCATACACAATAACGCGTGCAGTTGCTAGTAGCACAGTTTTGTTACTGAGCGCGCAAAGTGACAGGCCACTCTGCTTGGCCACGGCCTCGCCACTGTGTGACGGGAGCGGGGGTGAGGCCATGCTACTACGGGGCGCGGGCGCATCGCGCGCGGGCAGCGAGCCCCGATCCGTAACAAAATGTAGCAAAGAATGATGGCGCTTTTGACATGCACGACACGAAGATTTTGATGTACAAACACCGGACTTATGCTTGGTACTTAAACAATTTACGCATGAATTGTTAGCTTTAATATGTTTATAACGATCGAGAGGTGACAATTTTTCGAATGCACTACATTTATAAAAATGATCATGCATATTACTATTGCAAAGTGAACATTTTATAGGTGTTACACTTGAAACATAAGACTGCGGGTCCGGGTACTTAGCAGGCGGGCGGTATTTATTAGTAGGCGGGCGGTATTTATTTGACTCTGTACTGGTGGCGGGCGCGGGTTGTGTATTTTCATATATGCGGCATTGCGTTTTTATAAAATTAATAAATCCGTCAAAATCACGTGATTTTGTTATAGAAGAGTGTAATTCGAACGCGCGTAATGTTTCTGAATCGAATTTACGTTTTGCAATATATAATAAAATGAAATCAGATAATTGTTTTATACCTAAGCCCTTTAATGACATAGCGGCGGTGACATACTTATCTATAAATAATTGAAAACTTGCGGCGGAAGGCATTTTGCCTAATTTAAGATTTAAAATCTGGTCTAAGTAATTAGAACCGAGAACGTGAATATCTTGATACTTATCAAGCAGAGACTTAAATATAATTTCATAGTTTTCGGCGCAGGGTGTAATACCTGCAAATACCGATTGTACTTTGGGTGATAACTTACCCAGTAAATAATACAGTTTTTCTGAGTTTGTAAGTGAGGAGTTGTCATGGACAGTAGATTTGTAACTAGCGTAAAATAAATTCCAATCTTGATAATTGCCGCTGAAGGAGACTAATTCCAGGGGGGGGAGCCTGGGCCTAGATACAGGTGCATCTATCCCACACGAATTCCCACCCGTGGGCGCAGAAGAAAGATCAGAAAATGTCTGTTTAATTGAACAAAACAAATCTTCAAATGAGTCATATACATGAAAATTAGGTACGGCAGAAGGATTCTCATCAAGCATCCTACTATTATATTCATCAAGTACATCTTGAAACTTATTACGAACGTCATCGATGGTTATACATGAACTAAGAAACATACGTCTTTTTTCTTCCGATTCCGTAGCCGACTTCGACTTATCGTAAATACTTTGTATTCGTTGAAATAAAGCATTACGTTTAGCTTCTAACATAATAAGTTGACGACTAGGTGAAAAGGTAGGCGCATCTTTATCTTTACGTGACATATCTAATGATTTAACGCAATATAACTATAGGTAATTATACAGTGACCTGTCAATAGACAGCGTAAGCGGACAGTAACGAAAATAAAAATTATATGTAGGTATGTAGCGAGAACACGGTTAAGTGTTGCGTAGATTACTATATAAAATATAATGGAATGCGGGATATAGACATTTATATTTGTATATTATAGGTGTGCGGGATGTACAAGTATATTATGTATAATATAGTTATAGGATACAATTTTAAGACTATACTATAAATGCGGTGATATATATTTATTATCTAAAGAGATAATACAGAGGAATGCGGGATATCATATGGTATTCTATAGCGGTATATAATAAATATGTTTATAAATAATAAACTATTACACATATAGGTGCTTGGTTGCGGTATAATATAAAGAAATAACAAGGCAATCCTATATGGCTACGCGGGTATGTCTGAGAAACAAATAAGTAATATAAGACTAAATAAGCGGATCTGTATTGTGCGCGGAATCGAATCCACGATCACTGAAACGCTAGATTACCGAGGCCGTCAATGATATATTGATTGTATTTATCGTAGATACATTCTTTGAGTCTATTATTATCATAAACCTGTATATAATCATAAGGCAATTAGCTACAAGTAGGTATCTATAGGCACATGTAGTAACTATCAACATCCTGCGCATGCGACTCTATGCATGACTGATACCGTTTAACTACTTTCTAAACCAATGCTTTTATAACTTTATTTATCCATTTATTTATATTATTCACAAATAATAATATGTATCCAATTACATTGGCGTAAATGTTGTTAATAATTTTAATAGGTATATTACATTAATAGGTACATATTTTCAAGATTTTTAGGAATGTCAAAATGTAAGTACTGGTGGTCCTAAACATACGTAATTTTTACGACCTTTTCTATTTTCCTAAGAATCTTTACAATGCATTTCTTAGATAGGTGTTTTTAATTATAATTCGTGTTTAACAAAAAGGAAATTATCCTCATCTCATTATTGTCATATGTAGCTAGGTTCATATAAAATTTATTGGTATAGCTGTTACTTGTGACTTTAGACTATTTATTTGCCATATTCTTCTGAATATGCCAGAATAAGTCTGATACTGATATGAGCATTGCTCTTAAAATATGAAAGACGAAAAGAAAAAAGATTATTAATACTTTATCTGACCACAGTTCATTTATTATCAAAATGCCAACATTGTGGATATTAATTATTAACATTTCAGATTACTGACATTTCTCTCGGCAATAAATATACATACATACAGATATAGACATACCAGAGACTATACTATTTAATGTGGCAACCCCTTAGCAGAAAAAAACATAATATAATATTGGTATGAGTAGTGATCTAGAAGTACATGATAATACTTAAACCACATTGTGAAATTGAATAAGATATCACCAAGACAACAATATCAAAACCATTAACAGTTTAACTGCTGAAAACATTTGTGGCTCTATAAAGCTACATCTGTGTGTACCTTAATTAGTAGTAGTAGGCTAGTATTTAGACACTGCTTGTTGCTTATAAGGTAGTACAATTTTGACTCTATATAGAAAGTGTGAGCACCATTTTTTAAATGGACAATAATGGAATGGTGCTAACTGCAGTAATGCTATTTGCTGGTGGGATACCAGTGGAGGATGATAGGATGAGCATGAGGTCAAGTCAGCTCACAGCAAATTCACCAGGAATTTATCACAATGGTTTCCAGAGGAAACTGTGTGGAAGTCAACCTTACATAGTACATTGCTAGCAATGGTGTTATTATTCCATATTACTAACAATTCTCCCCAGCATCATTTATATTATATTGCTCAACAACTATAGTGTTAGAACATAAACTCTGATTCCAATAAACACTTATGCCTACAAATAATGGAAAATAACTAAAATTCACTAATAAATCAAGTTAACTTGGATTGACCTTAAGAACCAGTGTAGAATAAACAATATTTATTATATAAATAATTTAAGATATTTAACAATATTATTCTTAATTTCAAACTTGCACACTAAGTTTACATCATTATAAATGCAAAATATGTCTATGCAGTCACTAATTAATCTATATATATTTTTAATTAATTTCACATTCAGTGTATTTAGATTTAGTATAAAAACAATGAAAATTATGAATTACATTTTACTTTTTAATATCTAACAACTACCCATAAAATAATGTTAATGATATTGTGAATTTATTTATTTGTGTTAAGTTTAGAATATAGATTGTAAATATAATAAATATTATTACTGACCGCAGTTGGTACATAAGCCCTGTTGGATGAGGCTCTCTCGTTCATCCACTTCACCGCATTCAGTTTTTTCCAAGGAAGATCACAGTGGAAATAAATTTTACTCTCATTGAACTTAGATTTAAATTTCATTATTATCACAGAAAATAAGCTTACAACGTCACCCATTTGTCGTGCGTTTGATGGCTTTGAGAGTTAAATATTAAATGGTCATGAGACCAAAAACAATATGCATATATTTATATTAATGATAACATTCATGTTATTAATTCAATTTACGTTTTCTACTCCGGAACATATTTTACAATTTCACAACCACTCCTTTGAATGTCAATTGTCAGAGTGTCCAATAGTCAGTATCTCACGCAGCACAGATAAGTCAGAGACGGGCTCTGGATAATATTGACTGTTGTCACTCAAATGACAATTTCTCACTTGGCTGTCACTGCCAGCCATAGACGAAAGGTATCGAAAGTAAGATTGTGGTGCTATATTTACTATATGTGCTCTTTGGTGTGTAGTGAACAATCACCAATATCGGTAGTGACTCCACTAGGAAATTAGTATTCTGTGGTGGTAAGTTTTGCGGCCGCAGCCAGACAAAATTTATAGCATTTGTTTTGATGCGAGGTAATATATTATTAAATAATTACAAACTTACGTATGTTTTACATTACTTAATAAAAATAATATTGAATTTTATAATAGTTTATAACATTATTAATAAGTTACTTATTTATAAAAATTAACACCTTATATATTTACAGATTTCCTTATTTTACAGTTTACAATTATAATTATGGGAAGTATAAGCTTAGATGTAATAATCCCTGAAAATACTTGTCTTATTATATTTGAAAATTTGTTTCATATACAGTATAATATTCCAAGTGGTATAGTCTAGGGTACAGTTACATAGTAAGTAATAAAGCAGCAGCAAGTTCTAAAAGTTATTTTCAAATAACTGTAGAAGTCGCTTTATTTCTGCTATTCTAGCAGCTTGTGCTTGAACTGGTATCATTGCCTGTGAGACCTCTTCACCCTTAGCTAATATTGTATACATACTCTTTATATTGTTATCCATTGCATCACAAGTTTTTCCAACAGCTTCTTTATAAACTTCCATGTTTTCTGCTGTCAATGAAGAATTTGAATGTAAAATACTTGATAAGTTTTCAATTAAATTATCAACAGATTGAGCAATTTTTTGTGCTTCATACTCTAGATCATTCAATACAGTTATATCAATTTGACCAATCTGCGGTGCTAATATCTGTCTGTAGAGCTTACCCGATGGGGTACTAGATCGAGATGCACTGGAACTTCCAAATACTGGGGTTTCACCTCTTTTTGTAATGGGGCTAGATAACTTAATTTTAAATTCAAGATCATCAGCAACATAGTGTGTCATGTCCCCTTCATATCTAACATGGCCATCAATATCCAATGGAAACTTTTCTTGTTTCCGATTCTCTGATGGCAAGTTATAGGGCCTGGAGGGCCCAGGAGCTTTTGGCTGTTCTTCATATATTTGACCATGATCAGAATGGAAAGATATTTCACTATAAGATGCAGTCATACGGGCCGATATTTCATCATCCAAATCAACGTCAACTTGCTTATTAGAAACAGTCTGTGTAAGCTCCTTCTCCTCTGATATTGGTGATGCAGTTGAATCTTGAGATACACTTGAAATGTTCGCCATTTTCTGTGTGACATAAATATCACTAGATATTAATCTTTACTAACAGACAAGTATAATAACAATGTATGAACAACAACTTTTAATATCTCTCTGAACTACTATTTCAATTAGTAATTGGACATAAATCAGTACATGATTAATTCTAAATACAATAAAGTAGTTTTAATTAACTAAATTATATTTATAGTGATAAATTATTGCTGAAAACTATTCAAATAAAAGGTTTATACCTATCACTTTTACAGTACAGTTTCTTCTAATACATTAACTAGTTGCTGACTTAAATTCGTCTGTAACCAGACATTAAAGTCAAGCAGTGTATTATCAACGTTTTAGAATTTTTGGGCTTATATTGCTGGTAAGACTAGCTACATATAATATTTGTTTATTCTTTATAATGATAAATAATCAATACTTACATGAACAATTAGGTTGTACTATTTGGCACTTAGATTCTTGTCTACCAGCAAAACTGGATTACCTTCCTTATATTCTTAGTTCGAACATTTAGTAACATATTTTATAATTGTACTGTAACATTTAATAATTACATTTTATTAAATTCAATTATGATCATGAAATTATTTTTATATTATAGTCATAAAACAATGTGTTTCTAATGAATTTAAATTAATTTTGTTTTTAAATTGATAATAAATAGAAATGGAACCTAAATAAATGTAACAAACAATTAAATATTTAAATACAGTATTGGTTTCATTTATCCTCTGTGCTGTCACTGTCAATGAAAAATGTACGAATACGGTAGGTGCCGCCACCATATTATAATATCAGCAAAAAAAAAAAAAAGCAAATTAAAATAAAACAATGAGGAAATGGTTTTTAGTGAAATTATATACCTGGATTTTAATATTTATTATTAGTGAATATTAAAATAGTATTCAATAAAAATAACTGAAAGCACCATTGTTGTTGCCTTTACTGTCTTATTAAGTATCTGTTTTATTATCTGAATGAAATCCCACTCCACTGAAATCACTCCTTTGTAATTTTCAGATTTAAAGTGATAGGTACATTTACACGAATATAGTTTTCAGTGCATTCTGGTTACAAATTACTAACCGTTATATTCTACCCTTTCTAGATTTTCGAATAAACAACAACGAATTGTGAAAAATGTATAACGGGTGTGGTAAGTTTTACCACACGAACAATGTATGTATCACAATTGATATATAGAGGCGGATACCATCTACTAATTATACTTCAAAGGCGCTCTCTATCAATACAAAGTGTTATAGTTCATTACCTATTATCTATATTACGTAACTGGAAGATACACTAGACATGGATAAATAAGTCAAATTGTCAAATGGAAGTTATTCTTTGACAGTTGTCAACTTGTCAATAAAAACATCATTATTCTTTACCCAAGTGAATTCCATTTGAATTCGGTCTCTTTTATTCTCTTATAGCTTATTTTCTTTAAGTTTAACGTCTATTTTTATAAATAAGTGTGATATAGAAATGCATTAGTTTCATCGGTGAGTTAAATATTTAAAAAGTCCTGAGAGCATACAGGCATTGTCCTTCCGTTTAACATGGCGTTTCATATCGACATGTGCGGATATATTCGTATAATAATGTTGTGTTAGTTTATTTTACAAGTGTTGAATACATATTTATTGCTGTATTTTAAGTTCCAATAGGTAGTAGCGTCATTATTTTGTTACATAACGGGTTTATCGTATTATATGTAACATACCAAGTCAAGTATTACAATGGTGAAAACCCGTCGAAGTAACGGAGAGAATGGGGAGGTTGACGATGGGAATTACGCTGTAAACGACGTTGGCAGTATTTCTGATGAGAAGGTGAAATTACGTTACAGATATTAAGTATCTATTAGACAGGTCTTGCATCCTTGCTTTGTTTAGAAATACTCTTATGTGAGTCAACATCCTGTCCCCATTTCCTAGATGGTACTTTCTGCACATAGTTGCATGCGCTTTTGTTATAAACTTAATATCCATGGTTTTTCACAACCAGTTTTGTTATGATGTAATATTCCAATATAGTTGCATATTACTACACAACCCTTCACAAATAGTTTATGACAATGTTGAGTATCACACTTTAACAAGATGCGAATGCATGCCAGTATCCCTAGGCACCCAAGAACATGTTATAGCTTATTGATTTGCTATACCCTAAATAATGTTTTGTTCATAATACATTGTATGTCTGTGTAATCAATAGTAAAACTAGATTAATATTGGCATTGCACACTGTTTAAATTAAATCAAATCAAATCTTATACTGGTTCTTGACACTCTAACTGCTGAAAATTTGGGAGACTTTGTCTTAGTTGAAGTTACACTACATCTGTTGATGTTTAATTCATCTGGCAGTCACTACTATTTACATATTGCATGTGTGTGTACATGTAGTAGATGTGTACCTATATGGTTGTGCATATTACCTGCATGCTAGTACAGCTTTACTGCTATACAACTCAGCAGTTGAAATGCTAAAACTTTGCATACAGTTTGTGACTTATATTTACAGTTTCATGAACAAATAAAATTAGAAACTAATATCCTATTACTATGTACATTATAATTAAAGTAAAGTTTTGAACCAAATAACATTAACAAATTACTTTCATTGATTTTATATAAATTGAAGAGTTCTATGAATATAATCATTGGGGTAACTTAACATACTTATGTTAGGTTACCCTAAGGACAAACTATGATATGGAATATCAGAATTTAGGCATAGAAAACAATTATTGTTATTGATAATTGTCGTGACAATTACCCTACTCAAATATTATTGTATTTTTGCTAAAAGAAAGCCATACACCTAACTTTAAACTAAGAACCATCAATATCATAATTGCTCTATTTATTTAGAAGCTGTTATAGACAGACACAAAGACACATCAAAATTTAAAAAGACAAAATAATATAGTGGACAATTGATATATATAACATATGCAAGAAATATGTTTAAAAGTTGTTAATATATAGTGGAATAGTGTTAACAATATAATAGTTCAGTAAAACATTGTTTTTTTTTCTAGTCTTGATGAATTGTGTAAATTTACAACCTTATTCTAAAAGTACTTTACTTTTTTTATTACATATATCTTTCAAAAATTATTTAATGTAGAAGTACCTTCTGTTTTATGTATGGGTATTATATTTTTTGTAGGTGTTATGCATGCCTATTAATCAAATTGAAATTTGCTAGAAATTAAAAATATATTTTGTTTATGTTTAGTAGAAATAATCTTAGCAATACAATAGTATGTTATGTTTTTTTTATTTAAATTTAATGCATATTTTTTTGTTCTTTAATTGTAGGCAAGCAATTGGTCTCAACGAGAGTTGAGGAGTAGTCAGTATAAAGTTACTAGAACAATCCAACACTGGCCTACTAAATGTAAGTTTGAATTGAAACACTATCAGAATTTACAACCTTTGGTCTTTCAACTGTATGATTTTAATAAATCAACTGCATTTACTGATACTATTTTGTTTATTTCTGGAAAATTATCTTATATTTATTTTAAACATGTGTTTTTATATATTTTAACTTTGACATATTTTATAAATATAGATAGTCGCAGACGCTGCACCATCAAGATGCCTCGTATTGTGTTTAATGAAAGTGATACGGAACCCGAAAAATATTCCCGAAGGTAGATATAGTTATATGTACAGTTTTGTTTCATTTTTCTATAAAATATAAACTCAATCTACAATAACATTGAAATAATTATAAACCAAAATTTGTTTCAAGATTGAGTCAGAATAATTTCAGTTTATTTATATAATAAAATAAGTAATAATAACCCTAGATAATTAACACAACGCTATCTAGTCCCACGGTAAGCAGAGCTTGTGTTATGTGTACTGATTTATACAAAAAAAAAATTATTGTGACTACATATGTAATATATATAGGAAGCACACATACCGATATAAACAATCATAATCATGACTACAAATGTTTGCACCATGCGAGGAATCGAACTCGCGACCATCGGAAGTATAGCGCTGTGATAAAACGCTAAATCAATGAGACTGTTATTCTGTGAAATTACATATGTAGGTTCTATTCATGTGAAATACTTTGATAAATGATAACTTTTCTGCAGTCAACTGCTCTATTTTGTCTGTGTTGTATTTGTTTTATATTAAATTTAAAAATATTTCTTGTATTTAACATAAATCTGTTATTACGAAATTTTTAGATCTAGGCAAGTGAGAGTGTTCTTTGCTGAAGATAATGAGCCCACCAATAGTGTCCGTCGCAGTCGTGGTCCAAGGAAGAATTACGTGGAAGACAGTGAAGATAAACCTATACAAGAGAGTAAGTATACGTTAGTTCTTTGATTAAGTGTAGACTCTACGTTAATTGACTATCTGACAGTCAAATGTGTCTAATCTCTAATTAATTTGTTCTATGTAACAAATGTATTTAAATTTAGACAATGGGTTTTCTATGTGAAAAATGTTGTTTTATAACCACATATACCGGACGAGTTGAAATGTTTTAGTTTAGAATATTGTATAATATATGTATTATAATTCATATATCACTATCCTTTACTTTCAATTTCATTTGCTTTTGAGATAAAAACGCACAATATCGAAATCGAATCTATCCACATATCAAAGTTTATTAAATTCTGTTTAGTTTAACCGTGAAATGGTAACGGACAGATCTTATTTATAATCTTCATTGTTACCTGCGACTGTGTCTTTATTTAGATACAATCTTTCTTCATAATAAATTTCATTCACTTCGTTCAGCCGCTTAGTCGTAAAAAGGTTACAAACAGACAGAATGAAAAGCGCACTTTCGATTTTTTTATTGGCTTATATTGCCACTTTAACGTCAGTTACGGAGAATCTTGCATCAATGTAATTTACTATTTCAGACGTAAGAAGAAGCTGCCGCAAGCGTAAGCTCCTACATCACAATTTCAATGAGAGTTGGATAACTAATGAATTGAAAGTCAAAGGCTATCCAGATTTGTATGGCTTCCACGGGACTAGTTCTTCAGATGAGTCATACTCTGGCGATGAAACTAGAAGAACTCCAAAAAAAATGGTAAATTAAATTGTTGGTAATTGATTTCTTTATGTAATTGCAATCGCAAAGAAGCCGACGGCCCAACTGATGGCAATCAGACGAGGTTAAAAAATGGTGACGTTATTCATGCGTCGCCATTCCAGAGGACTAAGACATCATGCTTTCGATAAACTATTTGCTTCCCTAATTTGCACCCTAAACCTGAAACACAGCTTACTGAGCATACCTACATAATATACATAAAAAACACACAGATTCACACAAATCTGACATAAATGATACATCTGATATAAAACGGTGTGCTAAACTGCCAGACCACAGAAGCCCACAAATACGTGTATCCTTATTGCCTTATTTGTCATTTCCTGAAGATAAAAATATTATGTTTACAGACCAACAACCATGTCCCCACTAATACAGATGAAGATACACAGCTCTCAAGACAAAGACGAACATCCGCACGGTTTCTCAATAAGAAGTCCAATGTAAGTTAATTATTATTATATTTATTTTAGAGAAGTCCACAAAGAAAATAATAATAATAATAATGACCATACTGACATGTAACTCTCAATTGTAATACCAAATTATTTCCAGAACATAAAAGGAAAAATAGAATATAATAAAAAGTTCAGTGGATTAAACAGAGAATAAAAAAAATATGGTATAAGAATATATTGTTATGTGAAATTGTTATGTATACACCATTCAATATTTTTCCTAATAAAATATAGCACGTAGTTTGTTTTAATGTATTTGTACCCATTATAGCGATGCTCAGATGTCCGATATTAACTAAGAAAAGTCATATGCTTGCCCATAGACTTGAAACTAATTTAAAAAATATTTTTTTATATTTTAGGAAGCAACTGAATCGGATTCTGAAGAGGAACCAAATCAAACTGTCATTGAAAAAAAACCTTCAACAGAAACTAAAAAAGAAGAAGAGAAGATGGAAGTCCAGTCCATTGAAGATGTAAAAGCTGAAAGTGAACAAAATATTCAGGCACCAGACACTGAAAGGTAGTTAGATTATTTTGCATATATGCATGTCTAGTGGTTTATCCCAACTTATCAGGCAAAAATAAATATAATATAGGTATAGTCTATGTTCATTTGCATTAATGTAAGATGCAGACATTGAAATAATTTTTCATATAAATTCACTGGCTCCTCAAATTATTCTCTCAAAATATGCAATTTAAAATGGCATAATTGTTGATTAAAAAAATATATACATTGTATTATATGAAAATTTTAACTGTATACAGTAAATAATTTTTAAAGTTAGTACACTTATTGATGATGTATAGTATTGTGTAAAACAAATCCTGATTGGGTTGAAACTGTATTAATAAATTTTATTCTAATTATCTCATTTCGTAGTAATCAAGCTCCTGCAAGATCAACCAGAAGTAGCAGAGGGAGGGGTCAAACAAAGAAAGAAGATAGTCAGGAGACAGGTATTTTGAAATACATATTATTTACTTGTTTTGACTTCAAAATGTTTCCTTTCCATTTCCTTGAATTGATTATAGTTTTACTTGCTGACCTGGGAAACATTGACTTGCCTTTACATGGCTATTAAATAATACGGGTTGGTGTTAGAAGGGTAAAATTTTGGGAGTATTTTTTGACCAACATAAAAAAAAATATCCAAAAAATAAAAACATTTTTTGGGTGGACCATTTTTATCACGTACTTATACATTTCAAATTTCATCAAAATTGGTTAAGCCTTTCAGAGAAGTATGGCAACTAACACTACATGAGAATTTTCATATATATATATGTACATATAGAATAACCTCATTTTTTTAATATATTGTGTTTTGTCTTTAATGTAAGGAATACATATTGTCGCAAAAAGGTTTATTAGAGGTAATAATATAATATATATATATATAAATATATTTGACTAGCATCCGATACATCGTCGTCGGAAAGTGGGAGCGAGCTGACGATGGGTGGCCAGCCGCGCCGCTCTAACCGTACACGCAAACCTAAACCTGCTTTCGTACAAATCGCCCAGGGACAGACCCGTAGCAGAGGTAAATCAATCAATCATTCTGTTTTGTATAACATACCATACAAATATTATGATGCGACGGCCATCGTTTAGACGCTGGAAACATCAAGGGAGTCGTGCGCGTTGGCGGCCTCGCGAGAAAACCTCGACAAGTATTTTACTCCAAAATCTAAGTGTATGCGGGATGAACTTCCTCTGAAACCACACTGTCGGAGACCACTTAGGTTCCAGCGTGAGGGGATGAATTCAGTGTATTCTTGTTCACATACTATGTGTATGAATATAGTAATATATTAGTAATGCATATTCTGAATAGTCAATATCGGATAGGCTTTTCATTGGTGTTTCCTAATTTCAGTGCATTAATGAAATATACTTTTTAGAAGATTAAAGTATATTTTCTATTTTAAAATCCTGATCTAAAACAATTCTAATAGTTTTATTCATTGTTTGCATATAAAAAGAAACCATGAGTTGAATGCATCCTCTACTACACAGATGTTTGACATGGAGGATGAATACACTATTATTCTTGTCTTTAACTTATTGACGTGACTATTTGACATGTTGTTTTTGATATAGTCAAACATGTAATCTGGAAAACGAAATTAATGGATTTTTTAATGAGTTCCTTAAATTCTAGCAGTAATAAAAGTATTTTTAGACATGAGAAAAATTTTAATCCCTTACGCTTTGTAATAAGCATTTAAATATACTAGGTACTAGGATAATAGAAATCTTGTGTGAAATTATAACAATTGTCCATTATTACAGCAAAAACATTTACAATAAGAAAGAAACCATATTCGTTGAGAGAGAGGAAACCAAAAATTTTACGCAGGAAGACAATCAGATGTGAGTATTAATCATTTGTATTGTATGTATTAACTTCATAACTTTAATTATAACGTAAGTTCATGTTTAATCTAAGTGTTAATTCTCATAGTTCTGACTATTTCACTTGTAATATATGGACCTGTAATATGCTATATATATAAAAAAAATGCATGACTACAGCAACATATCTATAAGTATTTAGATACAAATTTGCTTGGATAAAATTGTGCAAAGAAACTGTATTATTACTTGTGTTAATTTATGTTCTAATAGTATGTAGTAGATTATGAGTGTGTGTTTTTTTATATACGGTCATGACAATTTTGTTGTATTGAAATATTTTTAAGAGTTCAGCTAGGTTCAGTTAATAATAATATTCTGTATAAACAGAATATTAAAATCAAGGTACAATTATATTAGACTTTATTACATTATATAAAAAACCACCATAATTATGAAATCATGGTATAACTACATTAAACTCTATTTTACATTATATAAGAAACAGCCATTATTAACTGTCGCCATGAGTTAGTTGAATGTAAGTTATATATTATTATTCTCAGCACAATCGCCGTCCAGTACAAGCAGTAGTAGTACAACGAGCTCCGATACAGAAGAAGATCTAAATGTTTCTATGAAAAATAAGACTAAGGGCAGGTAACTACCAAACACCATATTTTTATTTATCTATTTACTTTCAATAGGATATGTTGTTTTTAGGAAATATATAGAAGAGAATAATAAAAACCTAAGATAATTCACACAATAACACCTTGTGCTAAGTTAAGCAGAGCTTGTGTTATGGGTACTTAATAGCTGATAGAAATACTTAAATATATTGTTTTTAATATCGTAAATTAGAAAATGATTACAAATGTTTGTGTCGTGCGAGGAATCGAACCCGTGTTCATCGCAAGTAAGACTCTTTGCTCAAATTATTCCACATACGATTGTATTAAGGTAGAATCTAGATGCTTGCGGTGTGGTGTAACAGTGGTGTGTTTTTATAATTAAATAACTCCATGCATTATTTTATTACAAAAATACTGCAATGCATCTGTATTAGAACGCATGCTTCGAGAAACTACCTACTTGTATTGTTTAGAAATGTATTTAAACTTTTTTCTAAGGCAAAAGACAAAAGCCATGGATGACAAGAAAACAGATAGAGCATTAAGAGATATACAGCCTGTTGAAGTTGATGGCAGTGTGAGATTCTCATCGGTGAGTTTTTGTTGTTTATTACTATTGTTTTAGTATTTAGGTACCTAATTTATTAAATCCAAATTGGAATTTCAATTTTCAAGTCACTGAGTTATCATTTTTTACTTATCAATTAAAAAGAGTAGACTTTTTGAGCAATGCAAATTGTATTTAATGATAATTTTTTATAGAAAATGGTTATTTTTGTGTTAAAATAGTACTAATTCGTATGTCATAAAAAATTTGGTAAAATATTATTTTATTAGATTTTGCAATATGTCATTATTTCATACAGCCTTTTGAGACAAAGAAATCTTATTCAATTAAATAAAAACTATAACCAAAATGTTCTTATTCTTTACAAAGATGTGTATATTCACATTGAAATTTTGGTCATGTGATGTATTAAGTTTTATCACCAGCTTTCTCCTGTACTGATGTTTCGTATTTTGTTCCCTTGTTTGTCTCTTTTGAAAAAGCTTGCTCTCTTTTTTTAATAGACTTTATATCAGTTCTATCTCCATCATCACACAGAGGATTTCATGGTGAACTCGGAATGTTTCGCAATGCGTTTTGATTAAAAGTAACTAATTTATCAACAGGTGGGAGGTCTGGAAGAACATATAAAGTGCCTCCGAGAGATGGTGCTCTTTCCTCTCATGTATCCGAACTTATTTCAAAAGTTTAACACGAGGCCGGCAAAAGGAGTGTTATTCCACGGCCCACCAGGCACTGGCAAGACACTGTTGGCGAGAGCTTTAGCCAACGAATGTAGTCTGGTCGGTGGACGGAAAGTGGCATTCTTCATGAGGAAAGGAGCAGACTGTTTGAAGAAGTGGGTCGGTGAGAGTGAAAGGCACTTCTCAAACTGTTGTTTCAACAGGGAATATTTTAATTGTATTTAATTTTTCTTAATTGAACACTAGTTTAATTACATCTTGGGAGATGTTTGTCTATTGAAGAAAACAAAAATCCATTCCATATCTCTGTCGTTATTTGCATGTCCGCTGTTTTTATAATAATTTTGTGAAATCCATTCTTAGTGTTTGCCTGCATCGTTAATGAAACCTATATTTAAAATTTCAAGTGTCTAGTTTTTCAACGACATCAGTTAGTAAAAATAAGAGTTATCTATTTATTATAGGAAAACCAGAACTGGTTCTATATATACTATATACATATTATACCAGTAGACACAATTTATATAAAATGTAAAGTGACAGACTTTCACAAACAATAACAGATTAATAATTAATAGCTTTAAATTCAACTCACTATCACTACGTATAAAGATAACACAAATTGAGATAATGAAGTTGGGAAAGAACAAGATAATAGTAATTAATCATTATTGAGTTTATTTACATATGTATAT